GTGAGTCGCGCGTCGATAGTGTTAGTGCACTAACACTATCGACGCGCGACTCACGGACAGGTTTCCGTTCAACCGTAATGTATGATTAGCCTGTTTTGAACCTTTTTATCTAAAAAAACTACTGCTCGGAACGAAAAATGGTAAATAACTTTTTAATTTATTTTTTCGACGACTTTCTTGCTATGGTATTTTGATTCGCGAATTTCAGGACACCCTGTATATATATTCCTAGGTCGCAGAAGACATCTAACATTATCTAACATTCTAACACAAGCGTTAAAAGTGAATTCAACAACGTATATTAGCGGAAAGGTAGAACAGTATAATGTAAGCATCTAAACGTAGTGACAGCTCCGAAACAAATCCGATAACGATCTTCTGATTGATAAACTCGTTGTTAAGGTTACGGATCTATCACGGGGGCCGTCGTAGCGCGGGCGTATAATATTAACAGTGATATCTTTGTTAAGAGTGGCACTTAAGCTCAATATTTTGTTGTACAATGCAATGGAGAACTATGTGTTGCAGCATACACATCTAATGTTCAATAATTACTTTGTGCAGTATCATGTTATGTACAAAATAAAACCGATAAGACAACAAGATAATGCCACAGCCTAAGTTTCTTAAATTGATATGTTAAAATTAATAATTAGGCTTGAAATCAAATTTAAAAAATTACCTCTTTTTATAATAATATCTTTATGGAATTTCCTTTGGGGTTACAATCTTTCAACTTATTCTACACCTTAATCTAAATTTAAAAAATTACTTATATAAAGCTCGATTTATTTTTATTTTTGACAATTATGATGACAATTATTATGACAATTAACTTCTTTAGAGATATTCGATATTTTAAAATTGGATCGAAATAAATTGCTAGAATAATGCGCTAAAATTTGAACTTTTATTCCTATCACTTTCAAACATTGAAATTTCGTCGTTGTTTAGTTTATCAATATCTCTGTTCTCTTAGAAGACGAGAGAGTGAATACATCACGCAAAATGAATTCGTACGCGCTCTACTTTTCCCAACTGCGAGGGATGCTCGTGAGGAATCTCCTGCTGAAGAAACGCGATATGTCAAAGACGATTATGGTATGTCCAATTTTAATGCACTTAAATCGTATCAACTAACGAGTTTTCTAACGATTCAGCGATGATTGTGGCTACCGCTACTTGTCGTTGCGCAGTTATATTATCTTCTCACAAAAAGGCGTGTTAAGTGGATACTCGAAAGTCTCAAAATATTGTTTAGAAGTCAATTTTTTTGAAATCGCTCGATTCCTTTTATCAAAATGTTATTCAATCATTCACGTACATAAATGATGTTATGAATGGAAAATTGACTTCTTGCGATGCTATAAGACACACCATAATTGCGTATTTATTGAATTCAAAATCAGCATTATTTGATTGCCTACAGGAGGCCATTCTACCCCTCTATTTCTTTGGGATTTTAATCCTGGTAAAGGTTTTAACACCCAATCCAAACTTTCCCGCGATAACGACGCAGAGGCACCAAGAGGATATTTTTGAATTATTCAACGGTTATAATAACAATACGATTGCAGTGGTAGCCAATTCTACGGAAACCCTTGTGAGTCAAAATATGAAACCCGAGTGAAATATACTAAAGCCTGCGGTCCACTCAATGCCGCAAATGTTTCAAAGCGTTTGTCTTCTCTTTCTTTCTTTATTTCTTTCCTTCTTTGAAGGAAATTAACAATACTTATAACTTAACAACAATAAATTATATAAATTAACAACAATAAATTAACAATAAGTATTAGTGTATCAAATGGTCACTTTTGAATTAATTGAATTTTTTTTCGCTGCATATTTCTTTTACAATATCGTAATTTTATTTCGGTATTAATTCTGCTGCTATTCTGTCGGATATTGCGAGATATCGCGTGATATAACGCATGATGTATTTTTTAGAGCTTCTTAAACTCCATGAATAGCTTTTGGCTCTCGATGGGGAATTATTCCAATAAGCATCTCTTAAACTTCATGGTGTTCGATACGAAAGATGAGCTGCAAGCAGAGTACTGGAAAAATCCTTACAGTATACCTTTAGCAGTTATCTTCGAGCACCCTCAGCCGATATCACAGCATCTTAAGTAAGATAAAGTTTACATTAATTTAACTATTAATTAAATTTAGTAAGAGACTGCACAATATAAAAAAATATATACATGCAAAGATTTATAAAAAGGGACATTTTTAATAATCAGAAACAGTTTTATTTCTTACTATTTCCTATTAAGTTTTATTTCTTATATCGCAACGCTTCATGACGGACTTGCAAAATTATGACTGCGCGTTTTCTCTTGAATTGTAATTAGTGTTTTCAATACAAGTTTTAACGTAATTATCTTAATTAAATTTTATTTTAATTTCTATACACTAAAGATGATGTCATTAAAGATCGAAACGTTTGTCATATAATTTGATTATTTATAATACCTACAGTATTATTAGCACTAATATCTGGCCTTAGTTCGGTAGCAAATAACGAATGTACACATTTATTTTTATTTTAAAATGGCACACAAGAATTCTCGGCATGTCACTTCTAGCTTCTGACACTAAACAAGAACAACTACAGTAAGGACCAGGGGCTATTTTAATAGATTCTAAATAATGTAATCTGACTTTTCAATTAATTTACTTTATAACTATTTTAATGTTAATACGTGTTTAACGTTATATTAAACATTAAATGAATTTTATTGCATGTAAATTTTAACAAATAAATTTTTCAAAATCAGGTATGCAACGATAAATATAAACCATTAATTATGATTCTTTTTCTCTTTTTCTTATTTCTATTCGACTCTCGAGAAAAACTCAGTTCAGTTATTAGTTTTTTTTATTAATATATGAAACCTTTTATATAATTTATATTGTTTAGATATGAAATTCGGATGAATCCTTCATATACCTCGCCACCATCGTCAAAAGAATTGTATTCGACTCCGAGCAGTTGTCGACAGAGTTTGATTGGGGAAGCCTGTCCTGTTAACAATTACTTGCATTCCGGCTTCTTGGCTTTACAGATGATAATGGATATGACAAAGATAAGAGTGAGTCCATTAAATTTAGTAAATGTCTACTAATTTTACTTCATTTTATGAGTCACGTTTTTTTGCTTCGTAAGAACATAAGTCTGATCTGACAATTAAGTTTAGGAACTTGAGCCTGAAGTTACTTTTTGCAGTTGGACACGGGAAATTCCGACGTAACAGTACCAGATATTAAACTCATTATGTTTCCTAAGGAAGCGTATACTGCTGGTAAGTAGTCTTACTGGAAATTCGATACACTTATTTCTGCGTTTAATGTGTTAACAATTATATTATTTTCTTAGGCTGGATGGTGGCCTTTAGAGTTGTTGTTCCGCTTTTCATGGTTTTGGCGCTTTCGCAATTCGTCACCTATCTTCTAATCTTAATAGTCAGCGAAAAGGAGAAAAAGATTAAAGAGGGAATGAGGACGATGGGCTTAAACGATTCCGTGTTTTGGTAAAACCATAAATTTACTAATAATTCTGTCGAATACTATATAGCTAGGCCGGTTCTGGACCACTTTTGAAATTTGATATCGGCGGTCCCGCGGGGAGGGGGAGGAGGACCGCCGATATCAAATTTCAAAAGTGGTCCAGAACCGGCCTAGCTATACTACTAATACTGATTTCAATGATTTTCCCTAACGATATTTGATTTTCTAAAAAAAAATTTATACATACATAATACTCTCTTGCAGTCTTACACATTTCTTTTCTTTCTCTCATAGGTTGTCTTGGTTCATCATCTACAGCGTCATCGTCTTTTTGTTTTCTGCCGTCGGAGTGACGTTGCTCTTCGCGCTAAAAATATTTCAATACACGCATTTCCTGCCAGTATTCCTCTTGATGGTTCTATACAGTTTCTCCATGATTATGTTCGCTTTTATGATCACACCATTCTTCGATAAGGCGCGCGTAAGTAATTCTTAACGAGATTTTCCATATCTTCTTTTCTACTGAAAGTTTTTATAATTAAAATTTTTTAATTTTTTTCCTAAATACAATTTTTGTGACATTTCCTAAGATTGTATATGCATCTAATCATTTTTAGACTAGCAAAGAATAGCAGTATAAATGGTCAATTTCCTGAATTAAGAAAAATTATATAATACAAGCAAGCATGGTGGGAGACATTCGGAAGTATTTAAACAGCTTTCTTAATCGAGTCACTCTTTTTTCCTTTTAAAAATAAGGATATTAGTTATTAATGAACCATGGGAGTGTTACGATCACTGTTTTCATAAAATTATTTGCCAGTAAGTATTTTTTTTTATTTGTTTCAGACAGCTGGAGTCATAGGAAACTTTGCTGTCACGATACTGAGTTTGATATATTTTATCCAAGTATTCCTAAGTGATTCCAGTGCAAGCAGCACATATTGGTTGATTTCTTTGATTAGCCCAACAGCCCTCGGCTTGGCAATGGATAAGGTAAGTCTCAAAATACTCCGTGATGACAATTCGTCCTACCAGACTTCAATTTGATGGTTTAACTTCTTACATAATTTGGAAACAAAGTGACAATAATAATAATGGTTTGTTTAATTTTTTTATATTAGTGAAATATTTTACTTAAACATTCACAAATGATTTAACAAGAAAAGATTGGCAAGTCGAATTTTTATAATTGCAACAGATGTGGATTTTTTTTATGTATGTTGCATTTCATGTATGTATAATATATCGTATCCCAGCAAACACACAGAACATTGCAGCAATATTACGGCAGTATTGTAACATTGTAGCAACGTTACAGCAATGTTGCAACATTGCCGCAACGTTACTGCAATATTCTATGTTTATTTGGATGTATATCGTATTTCGAATAGCTGGGCACTATGTTACCTAGGTTGTGGTGCTGGATCTACAAGGTGAAGGATTGAATTTCGACAATCTCTGGTCTGGCTCAGGGATTCCTTTTGGCGGCAGTCTCATCATGATAACTCTGGATATCTTTCTATACGGCTTTCTAGCCTATTATCTCGACTCTGTGATACCAAGTATGTTTCCTTAACTTTTTTACAATTTACCGCAATACTATGTTGTTTCGCACAAAAATGTTTTAATTGTGCTAAGTATGAGAATATCTTTAGATTCAAATAATTCTTGGAATAATTTATTTGCACGTTTGCCTGCCTGAATGGAACTTTATATAAAGATCAATTTCTAGGTGAGCATGGGACCAAGAGGCCACCTTGGTTTTGCTTTTTACCTGGATTTTGGTGTCAAAAAGAGGCTCAAAGTGTGAGTTCTTGAGAATATGTAAAAACATACATGAAGCTATCAATCTCTCTCTCCTCCTGCCCTCCAAAACACACACAGACACACACATACATTAAATGTTTAAAAAATAAAATTATTATCACAACTCTTTACCAAGATAGACTGATTTGTATGGACTACTTGAAACAGTTCAAAATAATATAAAAGTCCGAGAAACTGTATATAAAAACGTGTGGGAGATACTCTGAAGTATCAAAAAACACTTTCTTGTTAATCGAGTCACTCTTTTTTGTTTTAACAATAATGGTAATTATTGATGATATGTGGGAGAGTCACAGTCGTCGTTTACATAGAAATTCGATAGTAGATATCGTCGTCAAACAGCAAGTCGGATTCGTTCATTCCGGATGAGGAAACGAATCCCGACGTGGAGCCAGTAGTGCGCGAGATGAAGGATCGTGAAGCGATCAGGATAGCAGATCTTCACAAATCCTTCCACAAGTGCAGGCGTCCGGAGATCAAGGCGGTGAACGGCATCAATCTAACTATTTACGAGAGTCAGATTACCGCCATCCTCGGTCATAACGGCGCCGGCAAGACCACCCTCTTCAATATCCTCACTGGCTTGATCGCACCTACATCCGGCACCGCTCTCATATTCGGCTACGATGTGCGCGATTCCAACGACATGCGGGCGATACGCAGCATGACCGGGGTTTGTCCGCAGCACGACATCCTCTTCGATTTGCTGACACCACGGGAGCACCTCGAGTTCTTTGCCGCAGTGCGTGGCATTCCACGCTCGATGATACAACCTGAGGCACGTAGAGACAGCAAAAACATCTATATACTTCATGTTTATGTGCCTAATGAAGATCGGCATTTTTATTTGTTTTACAGAAACAAAAATTGATAAAAAGATTGTGACGTTTGATCTCCAGGTGGAGAAAACCCTGAAAGACATCGATCTGGTTGAGAAGGCGGACACCTTCGCGCAACACTTAAGCGGTGGACAGAAGAGAAAGCTATCGGTGGGAATCGCTATCATCGGCGATCCCAAAATTATTATTCTCGACGAGCCTACCTCTGGGGTGGATCCTTACTCGAAGAGACAGCTGTGGTCTCTTCTGCAGTCGAGGCGGCATGGAAAAGTGATTTTGATGACAACTCACGCCATGGAAGAAGCGGACATACTCGCCGACAGGAAAGCAGTAATAAGCAAGGGGAAGCTTAGATGTTGCGGCAGTTCCCTGTTTTTAAAGAACAAGTTCGGCATTGGATACCATTTAACGTAAGGATGTTACATAGTATTTCTTTTTCATTACATTAACAGGAAACGTATTAGTTACAAACTTATAAATTTATTAGTTTATGAAATTTAAATTGCGGTAATTTAAATTCTCAGTTTGAAAAAAAACTTAAAGAAATTAAATATTTTCTTGTTTATTTCTTTAAATCTCTCACTTTAAATAGATTGATTAAAATTAATTTAAAATGGTTCGAATTTAAGAAATAATTTAATTCTACAGTACAAAACATATGGAGTAGTACAAAGTTTAGTATAACATATTATTTCAACGGAATGAAATTACAAAGCGTATATGTATAATTTTCCGTCAAGAATATAATAATTGTAGATTATAATAATTTATAGATTAGTCCTAGAGGGTAATGCCAAGGAAGGTGCTATCGGCGAATTAGTAATGTCATACGTGAGCAGAGCGGAGAAGGTGAGACGTCACGGTCATCAGGAATTGAGCTTCATTTTGCCTTACAATTCTGTGGAGAATTTTGCACCCCTTTTCTCCGCGATCGAGCACGAGATTGAGACTCGTTCAAGTAACCTTGGCATTAGCAGCTATGGTGTATCGATGACCACCCTGGAAGAGGTATTCTTGCAACTGGAAAAAGAGGAGGAGGAGCCCAAGTGCGAAATGGACCTGAGAATGGTGTTCGACCGATTGCTTTCGTTACAACCCGAAAACACGTATCAGAGTTTACAGAACGAGGCAGTAACCAACCAGGGGGACAGTCGAGGGGAAGGTGAGTGGATCGTCTCTTCTCATACGTTCCGTCCCCAGAGCAACTCAAAAGAAAATGATTTGCTTTTTTTTCTAAAATAAATAAATGCGCGATTTTGTTATCGAATTATTAATCAATGTTAAGTATTGATCTCACCGTAATCTGTTTTCTTCTTTGTGGTGTGATGATATTATGAAATTATTTAGCGAACGATTTGCCAGACGGCATCCATAATGATGGAAATCCACCTGTGCTCGGTCTCGGCTTAGATTCTATCAATATTCGACCTAGTTTTTCTCAATCTCTCTACGCCATATTACGTATAAGAGTGCTCAGACTCTTTAGGAACGTCCAACTCCTGTGCTTCACAATTATCATGCCATTGGCTCTAACAGCGATCGGTCTGTACGTGAACAGCACCCAGAAGGTTGATGTCAAGATGGAACCGCTACAACTTAATAACTGTAAGTAATTGCAAAATATGAAATAATAGAATTAAAATTAATTAAAAATGGTTTTTTTAAGAACGACATTCCCAAATTAATCATCTTAAGTAAGAAAATGTTACTTCATAAAAATATTTTTGTAAGGATGTAGAGAATTACGCGTGGTTAGGTTTGTCGCTTATACTTAGTCGCTTATACTTGGCGCGAGACACTACCGTGTCTCGTGATTATTTGAATAAAGACTTCTTGTCGGCAGTATATAATTAACCAATATAGGAAATTTGATAAACGACACAACTAGCAAATTCTAATTAGAGAAATTTACTGCGAGAAATATTACTCAGTCAGGATTTGAACCTGAATCTCCTTACACTCTAGGCAGGCGTTTCACCAATTCGAACACCGAGACATATGGCACTGAGGCATGTGTTAGTGGTCGAATTGGTGAGACGCCCGCCTAGAGAGTGTAAGGAGGTCCATGTTCGAAACCTGGCTGAGATAATATTTTTCACGATAAATTTCTGTAATTAGAATTTGCCACTTGTTTCCTTCATCAATTTTCCTACATTGGTTAATTATTATTTGTTTTAGTACGTGTCCATAATTTTATGAATATTTTTACGAATATGGATGATTAAAAATTTGAGTAGCACAATATATTGGCACAATATCGGGAAATAATGTGAATCTAGTAGATCCAATATTGGTCCAATATTATAAGATGGACGCCTTCTCTTATTTAGCCAGTATATACTGGCTATAGACGTATGTCTATTTAGTAATATTGGTCTAATATTGTATCAATATTAAACCAATATTTTTATTACATTGTTAAATATTGGCCAATGTACTTTTAATCTAAATCTAAAACAATATTATATAATTATTATCGTGCAATATTTACATTTATTCCATGGCCAATATTGACTTTACATTGAACAATATCGGCCAATGCATTTCTAATATAACAAACATTGGACCAAACATTTAGCCAATGTTTAGCCAATGCACTGTGCTATTAGGGAAATTATTTAGACAACATATGTACATATTATATTATATCTTGATATCACAGAATTACCAGTTGTTGCTGCGAATCAATCAGTTGTATGAATTTATAAATTAAGAGTATTTATTTTAGTAAAAAATTTATTTTACTGAAAAAATGGTTTTGAAAATTTGTTAAACTTCTTACTATATTTGCAAATTAATCATAGAATGCTTCTTCTTTCTTAGGTACATACGACGAAACTAAGATTCTCTATCGAAATAATACCAACCATGACATTACCAAGTTGATAGATAGCATAACTCAAGACGTGGAGCATATTGAAGAGTATGATGGCAATTTTACGAATTTATTGAATATCGCACCACACATAGCCGCCTTTAACGTTAACGATTATAATCTTCCGCAACTCAAGCTGGCTGTCACATACAACGATACAATGCAACATTCCCTTCCGATATTGATAAACATTCTATCAAATGCTTATTATAGGTGAGTTTGTCTGAGGAAAAAATAATGAGGGTTCAGTGGTTTTCAAATTATTTAAAGTACGGGAGTTCTTTAAAGATAGAAGTTGATCAAAATGTTATAGTTTGTAAACATTTGTAAAATGTGAAGTTGCAAAAAGTCAATGTTATAAATATTAACATACGGTAGAAACTACAAATTCACTTCTTTAAACTTTTTAATTTATAGAAATAATTTAATTTATGAAAACCGATTATAGTTTATTTGGATGTAATAAATTTGCTACAAATTGAGTAACATTTTTAAAATTAAAATTTTTTATTTAGGTTAATCGCAAAAGAAAACAAAGCTACGCCGATCGAAGTTTATACATACCCTTTCCAGCAAATATCGCAACAATTCAATAACCCGGCTGGCTATGTTACACTCCTCGGCATGGTTTTTACATTGTTGCCAATTAGTTTAGCGGTGGACATGGTTTACGATCGTGAGGTAAAAGTTTTGCTTTCAGGTCCTAACTACAGACTATACAGAGATCATGTTTCAATTTAATAAATATTATTTTAGTACAATACATTGGACAATGTATAATTAATGAAAAGTAAATGTTAAAAAAATATTTTACACACCTTGTAGTCCCATTGGGTCGTCACGCACTAAAACTGCAGGGTGGGTGGTAGGCCGGGCTAAGACAATGATTTTTAATAATTAATAACTTGTTAACTATTACGAAAATTGTAAAATTAACTTAGCAAATATAAGGTTAAAATGTAACGAGGTACTTTTTTCAGCGAAGTTTTATATGCAATGTACTTAAATATTTTTCAGATCAAAGCAAAGAGTCAACTTCGTGTGAATGGTGTGTCGTTCTCCATGTATTTTCTTAGTTACTTCATTGTGCTACTGGGCCTGATAATTTTCATCTGTCTGTGCATCTTCGGCATCATGTTCCTTTTTGACGTGCCTTCTCTGCAGCAAACGCCGGCCATCATTTCCCTCGCCATTCTTATTATGCTGTACTGCCTATCGTCTGTTTTCTTCACTGCATGTGTCAGTTACATGTTCAACAAGTTGGAGACCGCGCAAAGCATGTTGCCGTACATTGCGATCCTTTTTGGGTTGCTACCGTTCATTATTATTATGGTCCTCGATATGCAAGGTAAATAATCGATGCACTGAGATCTTATCATTTTTTTTTAGTGGAAGGTATTGATTTCTAATTTGCAATATTATCCATTAAAAGTGTATTATTTTAACTTTTTACTTTTACTCTTGTCTTTTTAAATATTTTTTCTAATCTGGACAGTCAGATCTGACTTTGAAAATATCTGCCACAAATTTTGTCGAAACAATGTCAAAATACTTATAACAGGATCTGGTAACAGAATATAATAGTAGATTAACTGCAGTAATTGAGCAGAATCTGCCATTTCGCAACCATTTAAATGGTGTGTCCCATTTAAATGGCTCTTGTCAACAATCTGCTATCACATATTATATTGACAGGCTTTGCCAATAAAACACAAATTTAATGCAGATAATCGGATCTGTTGCAATATTTGAACAAATCTGCTGTCAATCTGTTATTATATCGCAGGCAGTTTACTCACTGAGAAGCTGCAAACTTTTGATTTTGAATGTCAATTTCTAACTTGCGGCATTGTCAATTTTACCTTTATTTAAAATATCAAGATTTAAACTAAGATGATAATTGTTTTTCTTTAAACACGACATATTCGCAAAGATTGGTAACATTAAAATTACAAATCTGTTACAAATATTGCTCAAGGTGGGACAGCGTCGTTCGCGTTGCACGTGTTCTTTTCCCTATCGAGTAGTATGTACATGCCGTTTGCGACGATATACTACGTGGATCGCATTTATTTGACGTGCTCTATCAACACCGTTTGCCACTATCTTACCATGTCTGATTATCTCACCACGGAAATCATAATTTTGGCTTCTGGCGCGCTGTTGCAATGTCCAATTTGGTTATTTGTGCTATTCCTGTTGGACATCAACAAAAGCGGCGGCAATGTCAGCGATGTCTTGAAACACTATTTTCTGGTTAGTGCACTTTAAACGTTATTATAAATTTAACGTTATCACTTCAAATTATTTCTGCTCATATATTTTTCTTTATATACAGAAAGTATATACATTATCTTATAGTGAAAATGACGAATGTTTTGTTTTGTAATTTGTAGATTTCTTTATTTTATTATAATTTAAAGTGATTTATAAAAAAACCTGGTATTGTATTATGTACAATACATGTAGAATACATTTTTGTTTTACAATCGTTTGTTATTTGATTAAAGTTGCATAATTTTTTGCTAATTTAATAAATAAATATTGCAAATTTTAAGCAGATAATGCTATATAATTTTTTTGAATATAATTTAAGGTACTCGTATACATTTCAGCCACGTTTATGATCAAATACCCGATGTTAAATCTATTAAAAATTATTAAGCGTATTTCTGAAATACTTACATATTTGTAACATAAGAAGTTATCTTTTCCATTCTTGTAGCGTGATGGTGGTTCTGTTCGTAAGGAAATTGTGGAAAATTCTGACGTCGGCGAACACGAGGACGCGGATGTGAAGCGCGAACGACAAAAGGTTTTTGACTGTGTCGCTTCACCAATTATTGGTCAAGAACCGCCGCTTGTATTGCTTCAGGTAAGTTAATAGATTAAATTATCGTCCAATATAATTTGCATAGTAAAATAGACAGCCAATCTGCCAATGAAAAAGTTTGCTAAGATATCTAGATACTCGTAAGGTTTTGCTCGATCGAAAGTATGTCAATATTTATTCTAATTAAATCTGCATCTGTGCACGTACAAAAAAATTATTTACAGATATATCCTTGCATCTTAATTTTGTACATAACAAAATTGGTTACATATATATACTTCGTTTTAACTTAAAATAATTTTTGTAATGCCACTACTCAGGTCGATCCCATCCTTATTCACCACAATGCAAAATTGTTCTTGTCAAATACGATCTTACATTATTTGATGCGCCAACGCACGATTATAGAATCTGCGAAAAGAGTACCGACAAAAGGAATTAGGAGCATCCTGTTACTCAAAACGCGAGAGAGAGCCAAAGATCGCCGTGCGAAATCTCTCGTTGGCGGTGGAACAGGGCGAGATACTAGGTCTACTGGGCCACAACGGCGCTGGCAAGACTACGACGATGAAGATCATCATCACCGAAGTGGCGCCAACAAAGGGCAGAGTGCAGATCAACGGCTACGACATCAATACCCACATGACGGAAGCTTTCCAGCAGATGAGTTATTGTCCTCAATATGATGCTCATTGGAAGAATATCACTATAAGAGAGCATCTGCAGTGCTACGCTGCGATTCGCGGGGTTCCAGGGAACGAAATTAATAGGTGCGATCTTTCAATACCCATTTAATAACACATGTAATTTTTTAACTGTAAAGCATGTATGAAATTCTCATAGGATTATAGCACAAACCCCTTGTTAGTGGTCTCAGCTCCTTATTTCATCGAGTAATTTAGTAGTCGTGCGAGCGTTTGTATTTATTTGTAATTCATTCTCTTTAGAGATGTAGTAGTTAACTTGTAAATAATGAAATTATTATAAACTTAAAAAATATTCCCTGTTGTGGCATTGAAGTTCTACCATAACATTAAAAATTACTATAGCACTATTAATTTTAAGATATAAATACTTGCTACTTTATGTGGCAATTATTTGGCTTCTTAATTTGTAAAGTATATAATATCAGCTTTTCTATCATAAGTGATAAAATATCACTGGGTTTCGTTGCTGTACATATACTATCCTTTCGTAGATATAATTATTTAGTTTATTCTATTGATTATTACAGAATTGTAGATCGGTATTTGTCCGAGCTACAGATTCATGAACACGCCAACAAACAAAGTCAAGAATGTTCTGGCGGAACTAGGAGAAAACTTAGCTTCGCGATGGCGATGGTCGGTGAACCTAAGGTGATTCTTATGGACGAACCAAGCACGGGCATGGACCCTAAGTCGAAGAGATTCCTATGGGACACGATTATCACTAATTTTCAGGTGAGAGCATCACACTATATTTAGTTTAGTTTTATTAAAATATTTCTATAAACTAAATGAGGAAAAAAATAGTATAAAATCAATACGAATGAAGAGTAAGTAAGAGAAGGATAATAAAATGATAACAAGATTACCAGAAGCGTCCGAGTAACTTAATATACTGGCAGTGATAATTTACGTTAAAAAATTAAAGATTTTGCATCAAAATATAAATTACATTGCAGTAAAGACCTTTCTTCTAAAGATCTCTTCAATTAATAGGGCGACAGGGGAGTTATATTAACGACCCATTCTATGGAGGAAGCCGATGCACTGTGTTCAAGAGTCGCTATAATGGTGAATGGCGAGCTGAGGTGTATCGGTTCGACTCAGCACTTAAAGAATGTCTACGGTGCTGGCTACACCCTAGAAATAAAGCTGGGTGGTGATTGTACACCGACATCCTCCAACGACAGGATCGCCAGTTTAAAAGCATTCGTTGCTAACCTCTTCCCCGACGCTATTCTGGAGGAAAGCTTCGCTGATCGACTAGTTTTTGCCGTGCCTCAACATGCGGTGAAGTCGCTAGCTGAGTGCTTCACACAATTTGAGAAAGGTGAGAATAAGCTTGAAGAGATTGAGGAATTTCTTCCGAATTCAATAATCAGCTTGTCGTGGGCCCAAAAAAAACATCAAAATCTAAAGATATTTTTTTTATAGAAACGAGCAACGTTAAAGAACAGTTAAGTTAAAGAAAAAGCAGTTTAATTAATTTTTGTTTTATATTTGAGATGTTTCAATTTTGATATATCTGAAAATTTTCAGTAATGTAGGACATTGTATCTTATTTCTTACTTGTATAATTTCTAATTTGTTTTAAGAATTTAAAACTTTAACTTTGTATTGTAAACCAATCGTAAACAAAGTTTTCGTAATTTTTTTTAAATTTATGCTTGCAGCTAAGCTCGAAATGGACATAGAAGAGTACAGCTTTAGTCAAATTACCCTGGAACAGGTGTTCCTGAAGTTCTCACATTAAGACGCTTCTCTAGAATGACGATGTGCCATTGTTACGCGATAATCTGTATCTCGACAAAAAATTGTAGGAAAATTAAAAAAAGCTTCTAGGGAAAAATGCACTTGTTGATACTTGTGTTGAATTTTTTAAGAGAAAAGTTTTTACCATACTCTGCAGAGCGTCAAATGTACATAATTTTAAGAAACACAACAGAGTGTTCTTTTTTAAAGTATAGAACGGAAGGATAAAGAGACGTTAGAAAACTAGGGATAGCACGTTAAAATAGAAGTATTCAAAATACTTTTTGAGTTTTTCATCTACGATGATTTTTTTCAGTACGTTGCAGCAATTAGCTTACGGAAAATGTTTTCTATTTTTTTTACTAGTGTAATTACTGCTAAAATGGAATCTGTACTGCTTTTATGAACAAAATATATTGTTGGATTGTCTCCCATAATATTCAACGCTACTTGTGTGTTTGTGTTTGTAAAGTTTACATTTTGTTCACTAAGTGAAATGAAAGGAACTTTAGAGCCCGCAACTAAAAATGTATTAGGTACACCGTGTCACCACATTAAGTCGATATTACCGTTCTGATTACATATTCTAAATGTACGCCCAAAACAACCTAAGGATAGGATCAATTTTCAAAAACAAAAATATTTTTTCTGCAGTTGTTAAAATTGTCTATGTGTCAAAGACGCGCAGAAGAACATTATGTTCGAACATAGCAATATGAGAGCGCCTTTATTTTCTGTCTCTCTCAGTTCTGCTGGCTTCACCAATACACAGAGAGCATGTGGGTTCATTTATGCTACGTCCATGACAGGTACCGTACACATTTTTCTTTCTAACGAAAAGAAAGTGAGAGGTTGTGAAAAAGAGTGGAGAGACAATTGAGTGTGTGATAATTTGTATACATGTTCATACAGTATATTTATATATGTCACACTGTATGTATATAGATATAGGCATTGCTGAAAAAGGAATGTGAATTCTTTCATATTCTCTTAGAAAAATATGTATTAATTTGTGTTTTTAAATATAATAAATCATTTTAAAAATAAATTATTTTTAATATAATACTAAATATAAATATGTTATTAATTTATATACTACGTAGGAAAAAAGTCGCGAGAAAATTCAAGAAGGCCTTATTTTGACGTCTTTATGACGTCACAAAACTGTGTTTGCCAAGAACCATAATGACGTCATCATAACTAATACAACTATGACTTTTAAAAGATGTCATTTTGACAACATTTTGTCTTATGTGTTCTCTTTGGAAAACATCAACTCGTTGTCTATACTTATTCTAGATTGATATGCTCTCCAGAAGATTTGTAAATAGGTACATGGTGAGTACGTGTAAAAAGTTTCCTTTCTCTTTTTTGCTTCCTCATAGAGGATGCTTTGTTTTCGTGAAAAAATTTTTTTTCCAGTTTTCTTTGGCAATATGTTTAAAATGTTTTAAAACGTCAAAAAATCATATTTTTACAAAATGTCTGTATGCGTGTGTGTGTGTGCGCGCGCGCGCGTGTGTGTGTGTATGTGTATATGTACGCATTCGAATGTCTGTGGTTGCACTAACATCCGTAAATTTTGAGATATCGGGCTAATTTTTTTTTTAAAACGTCGAGAATCACTAAAGGAAGGTTGGTATTGATTTCTGCGATGATCGATAAATGGGTTTCTTTTTGAAAAAATCTTGAATTTTTTGAGAAATGCCTGTGGTTGCTCTAACTTTTGCAAATTTTGAGATATCGGGGTATTTCTCATTCTATTATTCTTTCCAGTCTTTTCTACCCCTATTTCATATATAATTTATTAATATTCGGTTGATTAGTTCTTGAGTTATAGATGTTTGAAATTTCGCGGAATCCGTACATGAATATACTTTTTCATTATCTGGGTGTTTCAAAAGTGATGCTACAAAATGTAATGGTGAAATGTATACATTAGTATAAGCAAAAAGTCCTAATATTAATTTTTTTAGAAATGTCTCTGGTTGGTGTAACTATCGCAAATTTTCTTTAATAATGATTTCCAAAAATTTCAAATGTCTATAACTCAAGAACTAATTAATCATATTTTAATGAATTATATATGAAATTTGGATTGAAAAAACTGAAGAACAATATAATATATAATTAGAAAAAAGTAAAGTAAAGTAAAGTTTCTAATTTGCACACTTTATTTAATTTTGCCTTCAACATCTGCGAACTAATGCGTTATGAGATAATATAATTTAATTTCTTGCATAACATAACAAATTTTAGGCTGAGGAACGCACAGAATTCATGCGATCCTAATAATGCTGTCAGATATCTTAATCAACTATATGCGCGCATAATTTACAACGTGTGAGGCTGTTAAAATTAACAATATGAATTTATTGAAATCCTACGAATACAAAATACAGAATATTTTCATCCTTCTGTCGTTGCTACGACATTTTCTACGGTCTCGCTTTTAGCTTTTAGCTGATATTGCTGAAATGTTGATATCCATGAACCTGCAAATAGACATAAAATACACATATACTTTGGGAAGGAATCTGTCAAAAGCTGGAATGTATAATTTTCAGAGATACAAAATTTGCACTTTAAACAAACTCTAAAATAATATTATAAGCTCAATTCGCAGTTTATTAAAATGGTATGATTATTTCTTTTACATTTTTATATGTTATTTAATTTACTATAATTTTATAGAAAAATAATATTTAAACGTATGTATTTAGTTGACTATTGTTAATTAAAGCTGTAACATTTAAAGCTACCGACGTTCATTACGTTCATTAGTGTATTAAATAAACAACTAATTTAATATATGTATTCTCTGATTATTAATGAAAAGTTATGAGAATGTAGTGAATAGAAATATGCGTGGAATATCCTATTAATGTAAAATTAGAAACATTCGCACCGGAGATGTCATACAAATTTGTTGCGCGTTGATTACGAATCTAGAGTATGATTGCGCGTGATTTAATTACATACGTTTGTAATCTATACTCTATTTTCGAAGATAACTCGTTTTAATAGACCCAAATACATTGAAAGTAACAGTTACCTACCTATGTCTCTCGGTCATTATGCGGGCGTGCGACATTTTCCTCTGGATTCCGCGGTTCCTGGCCTATCGAACATGGAATTGGAGTTGCTCTTCGAGGATACTCTTCAATACTTTTTAGAACGATATCGTTATGTCGTTCTTCCTCCTGAGCGACTATCGATGATGCTAAGATTAGCATCATCGTTGTAAATATTAACAAAATACCCACGAAGAACTTCATTTCTAAATGGTGCAATAATTCTTAAAATATATACAAATCAAAGTGCAAGATAAAAATCTCCGTACCTCTAATTTTGTATCTTTACCGCTTTCTCGATTCTCTTTTCTTGACTTCTCTTGACTTTGTTCGTAATTTATGTGAAATCTTCGAACCCTTCTCACTCTTAATGCCTCTTTACTCCACTTATCTCGGCGAGTATCTTACCGCTTCGCTGTCGCGTATTTCCTATTTATACTTCCAACGATGCACTTTGCTTCATTGCAATAAAAATTTAAATCGTGCAAATTAAAAGTGCACTAGTTATCGTAATCAAAATTTACCGATATCAATGTCGTCAATAAACATAATACTTAGAACGCGTCATTACTTTCCTGTTTCAGCCAGAAATAATTAGTTAAATCAACGACATGATGTGTCGATAAATCGTCAATATCAAATACCGGTTAATATTATTTTCTCTCACTTCTGATATCATCATAATTACATAATATACACAATTTTAATCTAGCAATTGCGTACTGTTTTATGAGACTTTATCGTCTTTTATCTAACTCTACATCGAATCAACGCGAAGTCGGAGAGCGCAAAATATTCGTATGTGGAGAGTATTTGCTTGAAAGACACAGAAATCTTATAGAAATATTCACAATTACTTAGTTAATATAAAAACAATTATGTTTAGGTAAAACAATGACAAAAATATTAACCAATATGCGATATCGGCCAATTACACTGTGCAACAAAATTTTGGTCATGATCACGCCTCATTTTGAAACCTATTCGGCTCACATTCTGGTGCCAAAAGAAACCCGAAAACGTCTTTCATTCCCCTAGGAAAATAGGATTCTGTCCAGGAGATCAAATTTATCATTTTTCTCACATTTCGCTACATTTCTGCCAAAAATAGGATACGGCTAGTCTTGTACTGCCGGTTGAGGGTCTATTTCTAGTCAGGCTAGTAGCCAAGACCCAAACGAATCCAACAATGTACAGAAGTCGTGGTTTTTTAGTATAACGTACTGTTAAGGGGCCATTTTAAAAGAAAAAGTAGCTGCTTCCAGCGCCTGACGAACAGACCGGGAATGTTCAAAAGTATGAGATGTATGTTTTGTGATGACAACAAAAAACATTGGAAAACAAGTAACCATTTTACAGACTGCAAATATTAAATTGCGTTTAATTTTTGCATTTTAACAGTTGGTTTAAATAACCTTAACAGTACGTTATGCCCAAAAACCACGACTTCTGTACATTGTTTTTTACAAGTGATTGAAATAATGTGATGTAACAAATTTTAATATAATTATATTTATCAAGTGTTGAGAGTCAGCACTCTCATGTGCGACTCAAGTGCCATCCTCACTAGGGAATGGCATTAGCACTTGTGGACTTTCCTTACTATTGTACTTTTTGTCTTTTTATGGTATATATCCCTACTTTTTATTTTTCATGAATACTCAAGTAAGCAGAGATGCCAACTCTGCTTCTCTGCATGGCAGCCGAGCGCGTGGAGGCAGTGATGCCAGCCGAGAACGTTAGCACGCACGCTGCAGCGACGGTGGGGATAGGAGAGGGGATAGTCCGTTCGGCCACGCGCGCGCGTGGCTGGCATCACTGCGTGGAGGGGGTAGAGTGGGGGTAACCTCA